TAACTTGGGGTCAAACTGGCTAATATCTTTTGCCAATATTCTACCAAATTTAAAAGTTTTGGTAGCCATAGATCCTTCTTGAAATTTGCTAGATACTGTATTAACACAAATATAATGTTAACCGCTTAGAAAGTCACTACAGGTCAAAGCGGAAAAAACATAAAAAGGTAAAACATACCAAAATGAATGAATTTCCAAATGAGCCACTGACTGGGATGGATAGCAGCATGTTGCTCATACACCATGTGATATAACGCACTCCTTCAAAATATGCCAATGTAAATAAGGCATATATATAAATAGATTATCACATGAACCTTTGGCATGGATATCAGTTTTAGGTGGTCGAGTTCAGAGCGCAATAACACGAAACGAGTGAGCACATAAAACCATGTGATGATATTTTATTTCACTCTGGGTGCTATAAATGCCTGATTGTGTGTGATAATCCTCACGGCGCGTTGGTCCGATCTGTCCAACACAGCTGTTTGAGGTGGAACTCACACCAATGTCCTGCACGATCACAGACTGTACCTAGCTTGGAGTGGATTCAATGCCATGGTCCATTCATGTATACCAACCTCACCAGTGTTGGTTACTGCCGCGAATGTAGATGGATCCCCAACAGAATCCAGTACAACAGTGTACCACTGTCATGAAGAATGTGGAGGCGCATGACAATTGGCGCCTTGGCCAGGAAGACAGCGTCCATAAACGGTTCGACGTCGCCATCTATGTGCAAGCCAAGAAATACAATGGCCTCCAGAAGAGTTTGTCACATGTCATTCCGCATGGGAAGGCTGTCGCATGTAGTCCATAAACTTCCCTATCCTCCTGGGAACTGCAAATATGAATGGATCGGGAAAGAGGACATCATACTCATGAGAGTCGGAGTGTATGGTAGTGGCACCGCCTCACTGGCTTCGTAAAGGCAAGTCTACAACCGAGGAGTTCGTGCACATCGACTAGATCATGGAAGCCATATTCCGTCTGCCAGGTGGCATAAGCCTTTATCAAGTGGCTGTCAGACAATGATGGTGGTGTGTAGACAAGGAAGCACAGTGGCAGAGTACACCAGGGCCTGTAGAGAAGCTGTCCAGAAGGCAAAGATGTCAAGGAAAACATTAAGCCAAGCTGACGGAGAACATGGTAGAGCTGGAACAGCAGTTCACGACATTCAGAATGGAGGCTCGCGCAAAT